TTCAACAAGGTTTAAAAACAAGGCCTATGACTCCTGAAATGTTGAATGGCTTGTCAACCTCAAAAGTACGTTTACTCTAGCGCGTTGTATCGTATGCGCAAAATTTGTTTAATACTTGGTTGAGATTTTGATTTCAATTTCGAGGGTTCGAGCCCGGCCGGACCAGTACTCATGGTCTTAAAATAACTGAGGAGAATTTGCCACCTTTTTATAACATCAAGAAATGGATAGATATTCCAGTCTTCTCGGATAAGGACGAATAAACCGTAGGCCCCCTCTCCTGCAGGGTTAGGGGTAGGAGACGTTAATTTCCCACGCACGAGATTACTGTGTGATGGATGTCCTCCCCTGGGGTGGGATGGGTGGGTTTACTGGACCCGCAGTAATTGGCGCAAGCTGTTGCAGTGTCCCTGCCTGTTGGTGAATCTAATAAATTAATCCAACCTTCAGGTTGCCTGTGCATGCAAGATAATTCAAACCAGTTTGATTTTAAAGGACTTTTTTCATCAACAAATCTTTGTTACAAGGCTAGATACAGTACTTAAAACAAATATTCTTTAATGTGTCACTTGAAGCAAATTGCATCTTGGACCTGCCCCCAATCAGCCCCCCCATCTTAAACATGACAGTTGTTAACAAAAGTAGTCCCTACCCTCTTACCGTTGACAATAATTGTCAAGAGACAATCAAACAGAGGTTGAAGTCTTTGGTGTCCATTTGTAATGATTTTATGGAACACCTGTGAAAAAAATGAGATGATTGGTGAGTAACTCTCAAACAAAAACATTAGTGCATGCCAGTGATGTACACTGTGCAAGTAATACACAAATATATACATTATCTAAGATTTCCAGTGAACAAAGGTTGTACTCACAATGACAAGAAAATCAGCATGGGTCCCTGTAAACACAGGAATGTCCATGGGTACTCTAACAGAGTATGGCTTATTGAGTCGGACACCTATCAGTGAGATAGCAACATAACATAATTGAAATCATGACAATAGGTTAGCACCTGTCCTAAGTTTTAACAACATTTTCTGCATTAATGTGAATCGGAAATTTATTTTGACTCTATCATTGTCACAAAGTTATGGAAGTAATGAGTATCATAATTACTGATTGAATGAAATTATAATTTGTTTATGCTCTGAACCCACCAAAATTTCTTTCTCCACTTAAAAGCAGCAATATGAACACTCCTATGTGCATCAAACCTAGTCGAGCTGGAGTAAAATAAAAATGATGGATGATTTATTCACTATTGATACCTTTCCCATCCGCGAAGATTTTATTATACATAAGCACATAAAAAGTCATCGTTTTAGAGTTGTCATGATGCCATTGCCAAGGTAAATGTTTGGATAATGAATTCTGAGTATCAATAGCCCATTTCCGAATTACCCTTGGCCTCATTTTCAAAACGAGTCCTGGTGCTCATCCTTTCATATGATTATAAGTTTTCATTCACATGCAAATTAAACTCATTTTCACAAGAATGGTTGAGCACCAGGCCTCGTTTTGAAAAAGAGGCCAAGGGTAATTCTGAAATGGGCTATTACTGTTGCAGCACTAAATTTACATAATAAAGAATGCCAGATAAAATTACAGAAACACTTTTACAACTCAATCCATGCCAAATGACAATGGCATCATAATGACTCCCAAATGTTGATTTATACTGAGATACCTTTCTTGCGTGTAAATACCAAAAAACCTACTGTATTAAAGATCACGAGACCTTACGCTGAGCAACTTACACTGGTCAGACCTTGCATCATTCAAGTGAAAAAGAATTGGAACCAAGATATCCAGCACATCACTGCTCTTCAGCACGTAGAACAAAAATTTCTGTAACAAATTTTTGTTTGTAAGATATTGAGTTGATAACTTCTGATCATTTCAAAATGTAGCCAACAAAGTGATTATGAAAAAAAAAAAACAAAACAAAACAAAAAAAAACAAAAATTGCTCTCAAATCAGGTCAGTTAACCTTTTTACTCCCAGAAGTGATTAACCTGTAACTTCTCCCCCATAATATCCACACATGATCCAGCAAACAGGTAATGAGAATACTCAAACTTATCAGGTAGAATTTGTTACCTTGATTGAACACCAAATTCCTGTGGCCAATTTAAAGGATATGTGTAGCAGCTAGAGGGGAGAATTCATAATCAGATCTTGGGAGGTGAAGGGTTAAATTACCAAAGATTACCTTGTTTTGGTCACACATCTTCCAAAATAAAACTAGTAGTTCTTGATGGAAACTAACTTTCTTGCAAGAATTTGGAAGATACGTCTGAAAACAAAAAGACAATATTTAGGATCTGGTTCCCTTTATCTATGACAAAAATTCCTTGCAAATGAATGTACAACATTCTTAAGTAGATTCTGGCCATTCTACTACTCAGGGCATTTTGGGATTTAAATTGCAACTTGAAGTGTTTGGCAAAGAAATTCAATATACAATCATATATTTTTTGAATTACATACTTGAATAAGAGGGTTATTAAGCAGATTTGCAACACCATGGAGAATAAAGTAAAAGTCCTGCAAGAAAATACTTCAATATAAGTATAAGTATGTACCTGCAATCAAAGTGGTTATAATTAGGTTAACCCTTACATGTGACTCTGATGAGTGACCAAGACAGAATTTCTCCTTACAATACACCGAATCGAAATATGGCGTCCAATTTGAATTACCATTATTCTGGACTTCCTAGCCTCTCACACATGTGATAATCCTTTTGTGTTTCCACGTAAAGACGAGGCTAGTAAGTCCAGACCAATGGTAATTCAAATTGGATGCCGTATTTTGATTCGGTGAATTAACCAATACAATATTAAACAAACAAGGGATGAGTCAAAAAAAAAAAAAAAAAAAAAAAAAGTTGTTGGATTAGTTGATCCAATACCAAATTCTCCAAACTCACATCATAGGAATTGTAAAGCTGTAAGGAAAATTACTAATGAGATCTTAGGAATGACAGGGTTAAAACGTATTAAGGCTGATAGTTTCTAAAGAAACTGTTTGGGGCTGCATCGGTGGGGGTAACGAAATCATTTGAATATATCAACAAAGTTGAAATGGTAAATTGGCCACCATAACGATTACAAAAGCTGACGTTTCAAGCGTTAGCCCTTCAACGAAGGGCTAACACTCAAAACGTCAGCTTTTGTAGTTGTTACGGTGGCCAATTTACCATTTCAACTTTGTTGATATATCCAAATTAAAAGGTATTAAATTGGAAGTTCTGTTTATCCTTGATTCAAACAAAATTAACTGGTTTCTGTTTTAATTAGGAACCTGTGTAAAATATTAACTTTGCAAATAACCCTAATTTGAAATCTAACATTTTACTAGCAATTACTTGTATTAATGAACTACAGTAATACCATATCAATATTTATACCTCCTCTCTGTGTATTCGAGACAAATAATTACAAAAAAGGTTATCAACTGGAGGTTCCTAAAAAATGAAAAAAACAATGCAAACATGTTAGGATACAATTATCTTAGTTTTCAAGGAGCAATAATTATTACATGTACCTCACTACTCATTTCCTATTCAGTCATTTATATTTAATTTTTTTTATTTAGAGAAATAATCATTGAAAAGAAGGTATGAATCCACTTCCATATGGACTTGTTTAAATATAGTTTTCATTATTACATTAAGGTAAATCTAATGTGTGAGCTGCAACTTCAGATTTTACAAAAAGAGAAGCCTGAAAAAATTCCCTCTTTAAAGGGATCCCAACCAGTTCCTCTCTAGTTGGGCACTTCTTCCAACTGAGCTCCAAGCCATTTTAGGGAGGGAGCCAAACTTAAGTGGCATCTTTGCCAAGAATTCTAATCGCAAAGGGTGATTAAAAAATAAGTAAAATTCTGACCTGTGAAAGTGACTTTTTACAAACTTGAAGAACTACAGGCCAGAGTTTATACAGCAGGTAGTATGTAGAGAAACATGTATGAGACTGTAAGCTGTACATGTTAAATACCAGAAGTTGTTTTACCTCAAAAGAGTGTTCTGCATCAGTTCCATTCATCGTAGTTGGGGTTGGCTGCATTGAGTCATGATCCAAAAGGACTACAAGCAATTGAGCAGCAACCTCCACCAGAGGTTCACGGTAATCAGCAAACATAAGGTGGTTATACCTAGAGAATAAAAGAAAAAAAAATGTTGGTGTACTGTTCCAGTAATTTAATTCTTTTTCATTTTCAAATGTATTCCTTTAAAACAAAAATTGGACAGACAACAATTTAACCTTCCCAAGAATTCCCTTCGAACCAATCATTCAAGCACACATTCCCATACAAGTCTTGACATAAACCAAGTACATGTAGCCCATTGCATCATAGTTTATTGCAGTTTCTGAATTAAATGATCACCAGTGGGAAAGCATCAACCTTATGAGAAATCATTTCATAAACTCTCCCAACAATTTTCAGACACTTTCAAGAAGACAGGTGATGAGAATATGGACAATAAATTATTGTCATATAGAGGATAACGTTCAAACTCCAAATTCTTGTGAACTGTTGCTTTAAGCAATAAGACATTACACACATACACAAAAACACTCATTTTCACATGATGTATTCATGCAATCAAATAAAAAAAAGAAAACTTAAACCCCAAACAAATCTTACATTTTAAGACTCTTGCCTGTTCAGGATGTCAATCTATGGGTAGTCGCAGTTTACCTTAAAGTTTATGACTATATTATTTCTGAACAACAAGTAGCATTCTAAATTAATTTTTTACTCACGGCACTCCGTATCCAAGGGGGTCATAGGAGCACACAAGATTTAACAGGGATGTGAATATTGGAAGAGCATGTCTGGTAAAACAAAACCAATGAAAAAGATTGTAAAATCATAACAACAGACCTTCAAATTGTATCAGTTTTGCTTGTATTTCTACATAATATCACATCTTCAGTAAATAGTAATTAGGAGTCATGGGTTGGCATAGTGGTGAGAGTGCTCGCCTTCCACCAATGTGTCCTGGGTTCGATTCCCGGACCTGATGCCATAGGTGGATTGAGTTTGTTGGTTCTCTACTCTGCTCCGAGAGGTTTTTCTCTAGGTACTTCAGTTTTCCCCTCTCCTCCAAAACCATCATCATTTGAATTTATTTAATTTAGAGTTTATTTAGATTTACACACAACCCCACAAGCTGTTCAGCTTTAAACATTATCGAGTCCAAATAAAGGTATTATTATTATTATTCTGACAAAAGCAAAAGACAAATGCAAACACCTTTACCTATTCCCAGCAGATGAAAAAAATGACAGCCATTTATTTGGTCTACTGTGATTTTCAGCTACAAAACAAAATAAAAAGAAGAAACTTGTTTGCAGTCAACGTCTTGGCCATCACACCTGCAAATCTCATGATTACAAATCTTGCTTGAGAGGAAAATTTAATAATAATATATTATGTTCCTCTTCCATTCAAGATGCACTTTAACTGATTGATAGACATATTAAAAATTACAAAATGTACATGCATGCACTTGGTGTGTTGCTCCCTTCAATGGATAAATTTATGTTCATTGGTTACATGCCCCAACATGATTGTTTACCAGTTGCCAGAAATGGGGTTTAATTGTTGAGTATAATTCAGCTCTTAAACAATCATGACCAGGTGTAACTTAAAAAAGGGGAATTTGTTGCCATTCATCATTTCTGAAAAAAACTGTGACAAAAAAGTGATGACCTTTCTCCAACTTTTTTTATGCCAAAACATCTAGCACCTTGCAGTGTTTGCTCCCTAACAATCCCAAAAGTCTTTGGTAAACATGAAGATCTGATTACTACTTTAACTTTAACTTTATTGAATTTGATGCACTTACAAAATAACATCAGCAACTGGAGAAGAAAACAGGATGATGTCCCAATTGATATTCAGACCCAATAAATAATTTACAACTACTAGCAACACATTCATGACTTTTAAAGGCACTGTTCATTAAACATGACACATTTTGACAGATTTGGTAAAATTCAACCTTTGCCTGACAGCTAACCTGTGGGAGGAAGGTACATTGCTTCTGAAAAACAAGTCAACAGCAATTTAAGAAGCTCAGTTCTGCTGCAGTCAAACTGTGGATTACCCGGAGGGGATGATGCAAATCCAACACCAGCTTCCCTGTGTTTAGGTACAATCAATTAGCATAAAACCACAGCATTGATCTTAATAAAACAATCAGTCTTGGCAATCTTCTCAGTATACCGGTGTCTAACCAAGTGACCAAATTGTTGTAAGTAAACATTTTGCCAAAATTGCCAATGGACTAAAAGCATGGTTATCCCTTCTCCCGAGATCTCATTTGAAATTCTCCTTACCCACTACCAAATTATTCTTATGATGTGAGTTTCAAGAATTTGGGATTGGATCAACAAATAATCCCTTAGCTTGATATTTTCTTTGTTTTCATCTCTTGTCGACTTGAAATTGCATTGATATTTTGAGGAGATACTCTGTCTTGGTCACTTATGGGGGTAAAAAAAAGCAAAACAAATCCAACACTCAACCAACTACAGGTTAGTACATGTACCCAAACAACCTTGTACAATCACTGGGTGTAACTGTACTCCTGCACTTATAAATCCAAGTTTCTTTACTGCCTGTGCATGGTGATTACAGGCCAAGACAATTCAGTTCATGTCAGGTACAATAAGAGTGTAGTGTTAAGCAAGCACATGTAACTGAAGACAATGCACAATTTAGGCATGCATCTCATTTTGCAATCCTGGAGGCTAATGAAATGATCACCACATTTCCCATTTCACTTTCATGCATCACCATAATTATATTAAATGAATTTCACACATAGTCATTGAATAAACATTACAATTTGAGAAGTTAAAAAAGATTCAGCTGATATAAATATAATTCCCCACTTCAAAAATGAGTGGGGGAGTGGGTCAAGCTCGCCGCGAAAGTTTGTCTGGGATTGTTACTCGGGACACAAATCTATAGTAAACAAAGAATTGCGTCCCAAGTAACGATCCCAGACAACCTTGCGTGGCGAACTCAACCCACTCCCCCACTCGTTTTTGAAATGGGGAATTTCCATTTTTGGACATTCTACACTGATACTGGAATATTAAGAATTACTCAATTGATGTAGGCTTAGCAATTTCATTTTCTGTGTACTTAAAAAGCTTTAGGTAATTCATGCACATTACTGCACAAATGTCTCACCATATATATTCACAGCTATCAATTGAAGACAAATCCTCAGGTTGATCCTGAAAAAAAAAAAACACAGGGCAAATCAAGGAAGAGTTTAAAATGTCTCATATCTAGTAGTAAATATATTATTTCATACAAAAACATTTACACTTTGTCTCTGGTTGGAAAAACAATGTATTTTCACAGTCATTTGCTTCCAATCTTTGAGATGTGTTGGTCAGTAAGAAATACAGTATCTATAATTATAATATAAAAAAAAAACATCATAATTATGGAAAGTGCTTGAATGACCTTTCTTCACTCATTGTGATGTATCAGAAAACTCACTCATTTGCTGCACTCACTTGTTTGTTTGTTTGTTTGTTTTTTTTCATGCAATGCAACTTGTGATTGAAAATAGTTTGTGCACACTTTCCATGGAGTAATCTGATTTGAAGCCCTGAATTAGACATATTGATAATTACAATTGCACAAGAAAGCACTTTCAAATGTTTTGATTGTACATGTGACTCTCTGCAAAATGGATAGTTTAGTCATAATGTTCAGGGCTTGACACTAACTTTTCAACTTACTAACCAAGTGGCTAGTGACAACTTAGATGATACGGCAATTTCAGTTTGTTTACCAGCCAAACTGGCTAGTGGAAATTGAAACCCACTAGCCAAAACTGATTTTCTACTAATCTGTGGCTACTTGGCTACCATTAGTGCTGAGACCTAATGTTGAAGGCTACTGAACCAATGTACAACAATGGCGCACACATTTCCTTCATCATATATTACTGTATACAGGATTCGTACACTTTTGACCTGTTAAAATTCCATGACTTTCCATGACTTTTTCCATGACCTTTTGAAACATTCCATGACAAGAATGCAGTGTGAAAGAATGTTTACAAACATTCTCACAATGCGTGCTTCTGTTTATTTCTAATGAAATTAAATCTGATTTTTGACTCATCAGTGAACTTTTCAACTTTGGGTCTCATTGCCTTTCTCTCATAGAGAGCATATTGATTTTCCATGACTTTCCATGACCCACACCTGAATTTCATGACTTTCCAGGCCTGGAAAATGAAATTTTGAAATTCCTTGACTTTCCAGGTTTTCCATGACCTGTACGAACCCTGGTTTAATGTTAACACTGTAAATCTTTCTTTAAACTTAAGGGAAGATAAGGCCGGCTAACTTACTGGGCCAGTTTTTTTCGGAGGATGAACAGTAAACTCTGGACAGAAACACAGGTCCTGTAAAGACACACAAAAAAGCAACATCAACATTTGATGGGTATTCCTGTCACCTTATCCTCAGATGAAACAATTTGAGAGATCAACAACGCTGTTGTACTGCTTACCGCAACAGCACTGAGAAGTGTTTGAGCAAGAGGGGATCTTGCCTCTGCAGTCTGTAAAGTAGAAGCACATGTTGATTAGTTTTTAATTGATTTAATCAGCATCATTTTAGAAAAAATCCCATATAATTATCCACAAGAGTAAGATCTCAAAAAGGTATTTCTTACAGCTATTTGAAAGCCCTAAAAATGGGTGTACAATGTTTTTTTTGGCTTACTTGCTGACATGGCAAATCCTCAGACATAATATCACTTCAACTGTAATGGGTGAGTTGGATCTCAAAATCTTCACATCGTGAATTACATTGCACACAGCCATGAGCCATTTGAGACCCATAACCATATCAAAAAACATAACTCATAACATCTTAACATGAAGTACGCACATTCTCCATTCTGTTCTCTATGGATACAAGTCCACTAATTTATTAATGTTTTTCTTGTTGCCATGTTCCCACCAATAACGTAGCTCCATTTTCTGCCTTTAAATGCACACACAACCCACAATTCCTCTATTCGCTCTGACGAAGGGCTAACGCTCTAAACGCCAGCTTTTTTACAAGTCTTAAGGTGCTGATAAGGAAAATCTGTTTCACAATCAAGAGCTTCTTTAGTTGGTGATTGTTTCCATTATTCTTGCCATCAAACTTCGATTCAGGAGAAATATTGTAAGAAGAAATTAGATGCTAGTCTCTATTAAGAGACAAAGGGTTAAAAGTATTCTAGTTTGCTATCTAATTTGGCACAATGGTTGGAACTGTACCTCTTCACCCCCATGAAAACTTTCCTCCTGTTACAAACACAAAACAAAAAGCATTTTTAATTAGTAGATTATTTCCATGAAGTTATCACTGAGATATAGTCATCTATGATTGGAAGTAATCATGAGCATATTCTCAAAGATTTACTTTTTGAAAATGAACCTCTGTTGTTTAGCACTCTATACATTTTAAATGGACTGCGGTTTGCTCACAACAAAATTTTAGTTTACAAAAAGGACAGCACTATTGCACTAATTTTAAAGTCATTAAATAACAAATAACATCATCTTATCTACACTTGATTTTTTAAGATGCTAGTCATGGAAAATATTGAGATATGAGAATATTGAGATACTGAGATAGGAAAATCTTGATATTTAGTAAAGCACTTGGTTCAATGCTAGATCAAAAACCCCTCTAAACTTGTTGCATTTTTCTGTATCAATCCTTTATTTCTTTAGCAATCCTTTAATTCCCATGATCTGATTGCTATTTCTCCCTTATAGATGCTACACATTTCCTTGTAAATTAGTAATGAGAATTTGGTGTTAGGTCCAGATAACCACTTCTACCGGACAAGTTTCAGTATTCCCATTACCTGTTTGTTCAGGATTATGTATGGATAATTAAGGGGGAAGTTACATCTTGATCACTTGTGGGAGTTAAGGGTCAATCAGAAACTCAAAGTATCAAGGGAAACAAGCATACTTCCTGTCCTGGAACTGTGGACCAAAAGAAACCTCTCCAATCTGGATCCTCAAAAATGTAGGGTACAAACCGTGTCAACAGGCGCACACAGTTCAGGACTGAAACAAAGCAGAAGAGTGAGAAATAAAAAGGCAAAGTATACATGTATGATAGGCTACTTAACTCTGAAATTGATAGTGTCAAAATCATATCCAAAAGAAATACTCAGCGTAAAGAGGCTTTTAAACTTTGGGGAAAGAGCCCCAACCATTGGCCTGTTTCAAAATGTATTTGATTATTAAGCAGTCTACATCAAATGTCAGTGTTACCAGGGCTTGACACTAACTTTTGAACTTGTTAACCACATGGCTTGTGGCATCTTAGATGTTACAACAGTTTCAGTTTGTTTACTAGCAAACTGGCTAGTGGAAATAAAAAACCACTAGCCAAAACTGAATTTTTTACTGGTCTGTGGTTAGTTGGCCACTGTTAGTGTGTAGCCCTTGCTATAGATACTGTAATGCTTTGGATTTGAATGGTACCCTTTGAGATGGGTTCAGAGAATATTAAAATCTCTCATTCATCCTTCATCCAAACAGAAGCAAAACTCCACGTTGACCCTTCACAACTCAACTCCAGTTTGCATATTCTCCATAGTATTCTTTATACACTTCCTAAGGCGCTGACAAGGAGAATTTGTTTAACAATCAAGAGCTTCTTTAGTTGGTGATCATTTCCTTCCTTCTCATGACATGAATGTTTGATTCAGTGGTGATCTTGTGAGGAAATATTAGATGCTAGTAATTATTGGGGTTTAAGAGTGAAACTACTGCAGCTGTCAGTAATTGTGACTTCATCGTCACAATTATACACTTCAAGAAATTTAACCCTCCAACTCCCAAGATCTGATTGTTAATTGTCCCCTCTAGCTAATACACATTTTCTTGGAAATTAGTTACCAAATTTGGTGTTAGATCAAGGTGACAACTTCTACGTGATAAGTTTGAACATTCTCATTACCTGTTTGCTGGATAATGTATGGGTACTAAAGGGGAGAAGTTACATGTTAATCACTTCTGGGAGTTAATTAATAAGGGTTAATTAAAACAAATCAATATATATATCTTATTAACCAAGCGTGAGGGTTGTAATCTTATTAACCAAGCGCGAGGGCTGTACCGGGAAAATATTGGCCCGAGGTCTTGACAGTACGGACCGAGCGCAGCGAGGTCTGTACAAAAAAGACTGAGGGCCGATATTCTTCCAGTACAGTCCCGAGCAAGCTTGGTTAATAAGAGATTTACTATACGACTGAAGTTCAAAAGGACACAAGTGAGGTATCATTCGGGACCATTCGGGACAGTGCTCGGTCCAATACTGAGAGAATATTGATCGACAATAGAGCATTTTGATTGGTTTATTTTAGTTATTGGCCCTCTGACTGCCCAAGTCGTGTAATTAATAAAAAAAAACTTACTTGAAAGTTGTTCTGAAGGGTTAGAACAACCCGTCAAAGTGGCATTATGAAGCTTCTCAACACACTGAAAGGAGATATAAACAAGTGCAAAGTTACATAAAAAAAATAAGGTGTTTTACAATTGATGCAAAAACAATAATAAGATTTTTCACCCAGGTAACTGGATAATGAATATATTGCTTCTGATAGGAGCAAATACAGACATCTCTATTTGATTTTAAAATAACCAAGATAAATTATTTCATGACTTGTTGTTTGCATGGGGCATTTAAAAGATGTTTTTTAAATTCTAACATCTGTTTACTAACACCATCGGGAAGTCTACACCACAGTAAATTGAAATTGTTTATGCAATTTCAAAATAACATCAATATATACAATGTTTGTCTGTACTACCAAAAAATTACACAAAAATTACTGGGGGAAAGATTTTGACTATAAAACAAGATCAGTTCTGCCTGAGGTTTGGTTAACCATTAATGGCCATTGGCACAATTTATGCATAACTTTTGTCACAAAATAAGTGATACCTAAATTTGTTCAAATTTCTATTATAATTATTTATGTAGTCAAAAAAACGTAATTCAATCGAGAAGTTACATGAAAACTGTCTGATCATTTTGTTTTTCATTTTAATATAGTAGAATAATACTGGATTGTGAGGTAAATGATTTTCTGAGTACTCTGGGTACTTTGGCATTTTACTGTAGACAATCAAATGAAGATAATAAGCTTTTAAAAAACAGAGGAAATCGTTGGCGTAAATTATTCATAGGTATACTCCAAAAGATCACTTTGAAAATATATCTGCTTCCCTCTGCGATAAGCCAAAAGAAAGAAATTTATCGCTTACAGTAATAGCACTAGTGGCAAGTACTTCGAACGTTTATTTTGAAAAATATTGTAGGCGTGAACAACGTCAGAAGATTACAAATGAAGTTTAATGAAACACAAGGTCACCCTCGATATCTTGTAAACACGTCCAGGGGCTTTCGATAACTTACTAGATTTATGAAGAATACTCACTGCATGGTATAAAATTAAACAAGGTTGAATTTTAGTAGACTGAAATAACATCTCCTTGCGATCATGTCTAAACTATAGAGAAAAAATCTTATTCGTGTTTGTTGTTAATAAAATTATAAAACAGTAATTGCATGCAAGTTTTTCAAGCTCTAACAAAAATCGTGGATTCGCCTACTGTTGTACTGTCAACTGAGACAAAAGCCATCAAGAAGAATTAAAAAGCAAAGGAATCGAGACGAAAAATCGCAGCGCCATATCGATTTGTGGTACAACTTGAAATTAATTCAAGACGCGAAGAGCTTGCGACATGCACCCACCTTATAGCATAGCGTCGCCAAATTTGAGGGATTCTCGTCTCGTAAAGCTCTGATTTCCGAGGCAGGAATCAAAGTAAACACGTCACTGATAGTTGCCGACGACTCAGACCAAAACTGATCCCAAAAGGTGTCATCTGTCGCTTCAACAGCCTGAAAACGATCGACAAAGTTCATCAGGTGAACATTACCTAAACAGCCGGTTCAGTCACACAAAACCCTCCGCCAAAGATCTCGCAAAAGACGGCTGAGAATGAACCGTCATCACTTCGCTCACCGTCTTTTTTGTTGTCAGCTGGACGACGGCTTTCCTAAAATTTAGTTTACTGTCTGTACCTCCCATTCTAACAACTAACTGTTCTCTCTCTTCTTTGTACACTGTTCAGAAAGGAGACGGTGCGCAGCCTCTGTCAACTGCCTCCGCCACGTGGGTTCGGAAACTGTCGGCCAATCTTCGTGAAACCTCGGAAAGTGAAATGCGCAGCCGGATACTGCAGTAAAGATCATTATTATGACTATTTCCGGGTCATAAAGTTTTGGGAAGTTCTGCAAGCCATACGTAATTTGATCGGGATAGCTTCACAACAGAGGGTCAAAGACTTAATGACTTAGCCGTGGATTAAGGAAGTTGTGCCAAATATGTCTGGTGAAGCAACAGAAACACGACTTCACTTCGAAGGAGTTCTCGACAAAGCTGGTAAAAGATTCTTTGAGGTATGCGTCGGAATGCAAACTTACATGTTTTGAAAGAGATCGATTTGCGATCTTATGAAGATCTTAACTACGATGTTTAGCGCTCTAAAACCTTTTTTCGATCTCGAAGAAAGTTGAAGGTGATTTTCTCAACGAAAACAGCGTTTTAGTTCTTGTTAAGATTAGCTCGATTTAAGCTCACTCTGATTTACGAAAGATCAGCTAGCGAGTTAATTGTGAAATTTCAGCGCAAGGTCACTGTTGTTTATCTGTTCATCACGCCTCTAGGACACTTTTGTATCTTTCACTGGTGATAATTCGTATTTATTCACAATTTTCACACTCACTTGGCTTCCCAAAGGATCGAAAGGTACCATTAGTTTTTTAATAAAAATCTCCGTCGAAATCGAAAGTCAGTTGAAGCAGTGTTTTGATTCAGCGTTTGACTATAAGGAAATTGACAAAGTTTCTGGTTCATTTGATCATCCTTTTAGAAACCTCCTCGTCAAATACGGAAAAACTTATGATTCATGTCAGAAAGACAGCTATTTAAATCATGCTAAAATACGGACGAAGTGATGAGGATTCAACTTAAGAACCAATACGTCCTCAGCGATATCGATGTTTGAGGTTTTTATGGTACTTTTAGTACAATAGACTCGAATCATATGCCACTGAAAAATATTACAACCAGGAATGTTACAACTAAACGCTTATGTAAAATTACACCTCTGTTTGTAATTTGGTTACCGTGAATACGAGTGTGGTAACCATGGATTAATTTTCTGCTCTTGAGTCTAATGATATCAACTACAACATAGGATAATGCTAAAATGGCAACACCGGAGCACAATTACAATTAAGATACATCAATTAACCCCTCTCGCCACGAAGAGTGACTATTATTTAATTTCTTATTACAATATCACCCCAGGATAAAACATTAATATTGCAAGAATTAACAAAATGAACATCTTGATTATTAAACAAATTCTCCCTGTCAGCATCTTATAAAATGTATAGAGAACAGTATGGAGAATATGCATACAGATATTAGGATCATTATCTTTGATTGTTGTCCTTCAGTAACATTTTTAGTAAGACAATAAAAACACGAACGTGGCCTTGAAGTACTGTAAAATATTGTAGAAGTCCGAGCTTGCGCCGCTCAACAGCATCATCAGGGACGTCCCCGATGATGCCGTTGAGCGACGAAAGCTTGGACTTCTACAATATTTTACAGTAATTCAAGGCCACATTAGTGTTTTTATTGTTTTAGATATTAGGATGTGAAGGTTTAGGTAAAACCACAGTTAAATACAGGACTTAAAAACTTGCCACCAGCTTTGAAGTCACTGAATGACCATGGATACATTCTAAGCTTCCTGGTGGGTTAAGTTTTTCTCTGGATCCTCCAGTTTTCCTCCCACCACAAAAGCCAACTTTGTAAATTCCAATTTTTCCCAGAAACAGTGGACAAGGAGGGTCACCTCATGGAATGTTCATGCTAAATCCTATTTCTTTACCTGATTTCTTTATTTCTTTATATATTTATTTGTACTTTGAATGTGTCTTAGTATCCTGAATACCAACCTTTCTAGAATGAGTGAGTGGGAAATTTGTCCAGTTTCCATTAGAGCCTTTGATAATTAAGGAGAGTTGAAATATCATTATATTTATATAGACCTGCTAACAATAGCCTTATGGTTTGTAGAAATGTGTCAACCCTCTTGAAGTTTTCAATACTTATGATTTCTCCATTGGGAATATGGATAATTATTATCCAACTACACCTAGACGAGTACAAATAACACCATAGACGAACTCATCTATTGTAGAGTACAGGTTAAACAGGTTTTCTCGCATTGCGCAAGCGAAGAATTGGATTGTAGTTACGAAAAAAACAAATGGCGGACAATTTGAATGATATTTCAGACGACGAAGAGTCAGAATGGCTGGCAAATACAGTTCCAATTTCATTAGATGAATCAAACGAAGAAAAACAGCTTGACGACCAGAAAATTTCTTCATTTAATGAAGAAAATAGAAACAGCGACACAACAACGCGCCAATTCCGTTTCGCTTTGCATACTTCTGTCACGCACTCCCCGTAAATGAATATTCATGAAATTCGTCCGCACTGAAATAACAGTTTGGTGTGTTGGATAATAAATAACTTATTAGACGTTTTGTTGTGTAGTATTGCTGAGTATTTTTACTCGTTATTTAATTGTATTTTGACGAGCCTGTTTTGACGAGCCCTACGGGCTCGTCAAAATACGGCACAACTCGTAAAAATACTCAGCGATACTACACAACAAAACGTCTAATAAGATATATTTATTCTATTTTATCCACATGTTGTATCTATAACTCAGAGCTAAATACTTCTTTTCACTCCCCCTGTTTCACCCTGATCATTTGATCCCCTGTGAGCACATTACCTCAAAATTGTGTTTTATTTGAATTTGAGTTACTTTTGAAATAGTTCTCTACTGTGGAACCTTCTAAATCATACTAACTATAGCATGCATAATTTTCCAGCATACACTGAATCAAAATATGGTGTCCAATTTGAATTGCCATTATTCTGGACTTACTAGCCTCTCACACATGTGATAATCCTTTTGTGTTTCCACGTGAAGATGAGGCTAGTAAGTCCAAAACAATGGTAATTCAAATTGGATGTCATATTTCGATTTGGTGAATTGCATTGTACATTAATTTTATAAATTATTGTATATTAAACATTTACATTCTGGTGTTTGTAAGGCATTATGGGGGTAGGGGATTACTCACCAGTGGACCAGAGAGCTTGGCTTCTACCCCTGAAATCATCGTTGAAATACGTACCTTACATGAGTTTTTTTGTCAGTTCTTACCTGCATTCTGGGGTTGCTCTTTATTGAAAAAAGGAAAAAAATCATCTAACAAATTGAATATAATTTGACTCATGTGACATAATTAAAGTTCTGCATACTGGTAGGATTGGCAGTGTTAAAAGTTTTACACCCTAACATCAGTATGGACATTCTTGATATTGTTGTCCATACAGGTGCAGACAGGGAGAATTTGTTGAAAAATCAAGCACTTTTTTAGTTGGTGATCATTCACTGTATTCTCATGACCTCATGTCTGACTCAGTGGTGATATTGTTAAGAGAAGTTAGATGCTAATCATTTGTAGAGGTCAAAGGGTTAGCTTTATGAGTTCAAATATATCCTGTTCTACAGGCATGTACCATGATTGATGTACCACAGGATGTGAGTTCTATGTTGGTGACATGAATGAATGATGATTTAGGTGCATAGAATATAGCTCAATTGGTTAGAGCACTGGATTGAATTGTGTTGTGTGGGAGATTGAGGGTTCGAGCCCCGGCAGGACCAATACTCATGGTCTTAAAATAAGTGAGGAGAATTTGCTACCTTTCTACAACAAGAAATGGATAGATATTCTAGTCTTCTCGGATAAGGACGAATAAACCGTAGGCCCCGTGCCCTGCAGGGTTAGGGGTAGGAGACGTTAATTTCCCACGCACGAGATTACTGTGTGGTGGATGTCCTCCCCTGGGGTGGGATGGGTGGGTGTTGGCCCTGAAAAGCCCTTACGGGGAGTGGTCAATTAACCAATGTATGTATGTATGTAGATATGTATGTATGTATGTATGTATGATTTAGTCTGGTAATATTTTTGTGCCTCAATATTTGTAGGGTTATAGAAAGAGATGGTTCACACTAGATGGGCAGGAGTTGTCATACTACAAGGCTGCTGAAAAAACAGTAAGATAAAGAGAGCTAATGATAGATGGAATTTTATTGTTTCGTAGATAGACAAAATTGTTTGCCTCTTGCAAAATACCATTGATCAAGGCTAATTACCCTTTCCCTCCCGAGATCTCATTAGTAATTCTTCTTACTGTTTGCTATACTTTTCTTATTGTGCAAGTTTGGAGAATTTGGTATAAGATCAACTAATACTCCCCCTAATTGATATTTTTCTATATTCTCATCACTTGTCTGCATGATATTGTATTGATATTGTAAGGAGAAATTCTGTCTTGGTCACTCATGGGAGTTAGAGGGTTATCATTTGAGCCACTCGTCAGTGATGCTCATTTAACAATGATGAAAATCTATATTTAAGAGTTTAAAAATCTTTTCTTTTTGCAGGAAGAAAACTACCTTGGTACCATCGATTTTGGTCAGGTAATTTTTTTTTTTGGATTAAGTAGAGAAAATCAGCATTGAGTTATTGGTAGCATTAAAATTGCCGTTGATTTGATGTTTTACTGTAAAAAAGATTTAAACCTTAAAAATTTCGCCTCTATTTTTTGGGCTAACCGGCATAATAGTTGAATAGAAAAGCACAATATCACGTGACATACTTAGTAACACTTTTTGGTCAAATTGAGGGTTGTTTAAATACAAATATAATTTCATGATCTTATATTTCTTATTGTAAGGTCAAGGCAGTTAATCCAGTAAAATTGGTCAACAATGGCTTTCAGATTTTAACCAAGAATAGGACTTATACATTTGTAAGTAGTACTGAAATTTTACACCATATAACTGAATAATATATTAGTGTGAAACGCTCTCCTTCTTTTATGCCCCTGGGCTACTTTTCCCGTCTGCCCCCCTCGTCCCCTGACAACTTGCTGCGACAGCGATTGTTTTAGGAGCTGACGATGTCACCCCAATGGTGCAACGTACCTACCGCCTCTCTGATCGCCTTGGACTGCACCAGGGAAATTAGCTTCATATCTTGCGACTTTTCTCTTACGATACAGACTTAGCAAGTTTTAATGTTCTTCTTAACCCTTTGAGTCACTAGCATCTAATTTCTCCTTACAATATCATCCTCGAATCAAAAAGTAAGGTTATGAGGATAAAAGAAATGATCGTGAGCTAAAGAAGCTCTTGATTGTTAACAAGTTTTCCCTTGTTAGCGCCTTAGGAAATGTATAGAGAACAGTACGGAGAATATGCATACTGATGTTCAGGTGTTAGAGTCGTCTTGTCTTCTCCCACGGTTTGTGCTCCTTTATTGTAAAGCAATCAAATGTGTGCGAGAAGTCAATTAACTAACGCGCAATTGCCAGTGTTGCCTTACTCGTTATGCGCAAATTATGTGTTCCTCGCGTATGCAGGTCCGTCTCGCGGTCAAGTTTAAGTACAACTGCATTCGAAATTGCAAGCGCATTTGTAAACGCAATATGTCCATTTGTCAGGCAACCGCCATTCTTTAGCTAAACCACAGTCAGATTTCCGGATCAGTCTCGCATAATTATATAAACTCGCCTGCTTCATCATGTGAAAGGTCATGAATGCAAGAAACTAATTCATCTTTAACATTGAACATGATGATTTTAGTGAATATCTAAGGAGAGGCCAGGTGTTGAGCCAGCCAGTAGTCATGATCGGCTGTGAATTATTGTTTGGTTTATAGTTTCTTGCTCTTTCAGTCCGCTCCAACGCCCGAGCTGCTCACTGACTGGGTGAGTGTACTGAGGCAAGCCATGCAGCTGAAATCGTTTGATATGCGCAAGAACACTCTAAGGTAAGAAAGATAGATTTTCAACTGTGAGCAATTTTAAATCGAGTATTGAAAGTAATTAGGGATGTTATAAGTTTTTCTTCTGTGTGCTCTTTAATTGGTCCAGAAAATTCATCTCGCCCTCTCAACCAAACAGGATTATGTCCGACGGATTTTTCTCAAAGTGCAGTTTTAAACTTAATGATCACAAATTGTCTATAAAATCGATCATATAAAACCGCGTTTCAAGTTGCTTTCAATTTGCACCTTTGAAGCTCAGTTTGTAGAAGCAGCCGCAAACTGTCATTTGGCTTGCATGAGTTCAAGCCCCTCCAGAGCTTAAATTTTTAGTTCAAACGTAGATTTATACCATTGATTTCATTCGAGAATCCACTTATCAAGGAATACCAATTGCTGACGCTTTGCGTCTGACGAGCGGCCCGCGTCTAGACCAATAAAACAAACCAATATATCCTTATCTTACTAAAAAGTGTCACGTTCTGCTATTGCAGCAGTCAAAGTTCCATAGACTCGCAGTATGAAGAGGTCACGAGCCGGCCAAATAGAAGCTTCAGCGCTTGCAGCAGTGGCAGTAACTTGAGCTATGACGAAGATGATTCCACTGATGCCTTGTACTCTAGTGTTGGAGTTCCCGCTGGTGTCAGCAGCGTAAGTCAGGGGGGAGATGCGTATAGCTTGGTTGGTGCATCAACACTTCCCAAAGTTAAGAAAGATGTAAATGATGGTGCAACGTACGAGTTAGTTGGATCGAGGCCACCATCAAAGTCCGCCCCACCCACTTACGAAATGGTCCAAGCCGCAAGGGGGTCCGAGCCCTCGAAAACCATTAATGAAATCGCTCGTCAAAAACCAACCGAAAGTACAGAATTGCGCGGTTCTCCGGCGGGAGAAGAGGACGGTAGCGAGCTTTATGACGTGGTTCGAGCTCCGGGGGATGTTGGACGACCAGGCACAAAGGTGACGGATGACAAGCCTTCGAGTAAGGAGTGTGAAGAGGAAAAACAGAGTTCTAATCCTGACGCTACTGCCCTTTACAGCCTCCCGAAAATTAACAGAAAACAGAAGCCATCATCAATACGAGGTCCTTCCAGTCTTTCCATCATTTCAGAAAGCCAAGATCCTGGGGACGAGCTGGCCTCTCAGTCGCCCGTCGACGAAAAACCCCCACCACTCCCGTCACCCCCGGGGAATGAGTCGTTCGCCATCGAAGAGATAAAACGACTGTTGGAAGAAGCAAAGATGGAAGAAGGAGACAATGAAGCTGAGTATGAGAAAACGAATGGACAAGATTGTGAGGAGGACGTTTTCACAGAGAAGAAACGTTCCGCCTTTGAGCAGCTGAAGGAGATTCTACAGAGGCTCGATTCTACAGAGGCAGAGTGAAGAAAGATTTCAAACAATTTACACTGCCAAATGTATTATTTCATGTTCAAGCCCGATAGTCACACAGAAAAGTGGGGACTTTCAGCTATCTATTTTGGCTCGAAAACAGGAACACAACTTTGTAGATATAAGAACAACTTTGTAGTCTGTTCAAAGGAATTCGAGCAAAGAAAAACGGAGCAAGTAAAAGTAAAATTGTAGGAAGACATTTATTTAGAACACCACTGATTTTCGCTCGTCTCCACTTACCTCGGCCTGACAAAGGCTATGGTTTAATTCGATTTCCCGCGCTTTTGGTCCGGGTATCATGTGTCCCATTTTGATTAGTTCAGTGTTGGCACGGAAGCTATTGAGCTGATTCGTTAATTAAGTTTATAGTCAATCGAACCTTAATCCTTGGGAGGGCTATGTTGTGTAGTAGTGTCGAAGTCATCTTTATTGAGCAGCGAATTTTAAGGCATTTAGCAAAATACCCCCGTAGAAACAGAGTCCTCAAAATGAGCCTCTCTGTAAAACAGAGAGCAATGATTTACTATAGTTTTAATCGCACGCGTGGTTTTTTTTTTACATCAAATTCAAGACGCCGTCCCAAGTGGTGGGACAATTTAAAGGTTTCTGCGCAAAAAAAAGGGGTGATGATGTGGTCAGATAGAAGATGAAAAATGATAGTAATATTTAGATGGATAAATTACATTGAGCTCAGAGCCTGTCCAGCAGGCCCAAGTTCATGCTGAACATCTATGATGCTGTCCTGATCGTTTTACACCCTGGCAGAGCGTAGAATTGCCAAGACATCAGTGAACATTTTTGGACGTTTTCATTTTCATTTTTATAAGACAACGTTTTTTGCAATTTTCAAAATCAAACGTTTCTATAGAATACAACTAGTGAAACAGAGAATAAGGCTACGTGATATAGACTTATATGAGCAGTTTCTCACATATTTTTTTTACATAAGTTAAAAAAAAAATTGAAGAAAAGGTTACTTAGCGAGCAGCACTTAAGACTGCGAAACAACGTCTATCTACAGCAAGTTAGGCATAGCTGTATATTTCATTATAGGTATTTTAATTTACCGGTAGCATATTTCCATATTTAATAAATGTAAGATATAGACGTTCTCGTATTTTTATAACCCTTTTTGATGTAACATAATTTGTATTCTAGTTTTGATGGATGTAACTTAAGCATCGAGGCTTATTTCTTGACCAAAGATAGTGTGACGCTTATTTCTTGACCAAAGATAGTGTGACGTAACTATCGGAAATGGTTAGATAAAATCTCTGATTTACACATTGAAGAAAGTGACATCAAAATCTTGGATCGTACTTACTGGATATTTCATAATACAGTGGAACCTCGATTTAACGAAATGCCAGGGGACTGAGAAAATTGGTTCGTTTTATCGAGGTTCTGTGGCAGACATTTTACTGTAACTTTAGCTGGGCTGAAACTGAAGTATCGTTCGTTATACCGAGGACTTCGTTATATAGAGGCTCGTTAAATCGAGGTTCCACTGTATTATTAGGGAACAGTCACTATTTATTACTTAGGAGGAGAGCCTAAGGCCTTTCTGAAAAACTGCAAAGGCTGCAAAATTGGGCAGCTCGCATCCTAATGTCTGCGAGCTATGATAGTAGTTTGGATTCTTTGTTCCGGGCGCTAGGGTGGCGAAGACTCTACTATCAAAGATCGGAACAGAAATCTATCCTAATGTATAAAACGTTACATGGTGTGACACCTAATTATCTGAAATCAAGATTTGTATATCGTGACAGTGTAAGTGCCTATCGTTTGAGGAATACCGAAAACAAATTAGTTCTTCCACAATCTCGAACTGACTATCTCAAGAGAAGTTTTTTGAACAGCGGAGCTCAATTATGGAACATTTTACCTGTAGACCTAAGACAAGCGTCTTCGCTGACTGATTTCAAATCTAAATAAATCGCCACAGTTTAAAGTAAGATCTTAATCTTAATTTTAAGGTAAGATCTTAATTCTAAGTAAATTTTAGACACGGCCTCCATGAAAAGCAGAATTTTCATTTATTTCTTTTATTTGAATTGTCATTATCAAATTATTATTGTAGTTAGATAGACAGGTTTCTAGTATGGATAATTAATTAAATCAACTGATGGAAAAACCGTGTATAAATAAAGTTATCCCATCCTATCCTATCCAGAGGATTTTTGAAGGAACACATGATTTTCAGGGGNATCAAACCCTGCCCTCCCCAGCGATAAATAGTTATTGATCCCAAAATGAAACGAAGGCACTGTCAGACGTCATTGTGTTTAACCTCCCAAAAATGACAGTTGCAGAAATTGCAATTTTTCAGGTACAGGCCTAAGAATACTTTTTGTGAATTGACTCTGGTATCCAGAGAGATAAATCGAAAAGGCGTTGACAATAAATAGACAAGTAAATGTGGAGGTGCCGCAATTGGGCAAAGGTGCTTTTCACGGCACACTATATTCAGGGGTCACTGGGTTTCTCCATTGCAGGGGGCTTTGGTTGCTGCGAACCCTGTAGCTTGCAAAGAAGCCTGGCCATTTTCCTCAAGCGTCTACACGAATAAATAAGAATAATCGCAATACGATTTCTCTTGTACGCGACGATTAAACGTAGTTTCATGCATGTCAGTGAAACTGAGTACAGTAGAGATGAGAATAGTACAGTCAACATGTCTTAAGCAGTCATCTACAGGGAATGGCGGGACCACCATTTATACAGGTTCCACAGAACAGAAAAAATAATAAATAAAAAAATCATCGTATTACGATTTCTCTTGTTCTCGACGGTTAGACGTGGTTTTATGCATGTCAATGAAAAAGCGCAGTAAAGCTGAGGATAATATTGATAGTACAGTCAATATAAATTGAGCGATCACCCTCGGTATATAATACAGGTTCCACAGAACGGGGTTATTACAAGAGAAGGATAAAAACGCCATTTAAACCCATAATTGACCGCTTCACGTAAAAAAAAAAAAAACTTCCTCAAAGTGCTACTAAATAATTTTAGGCCATAAACATGGATTCAATTTTGGTTGACAGATTATCCTTAGTTAAAATTCAGGGATTCCGCTTTAATACAGATGAAAGACGACGCAGACAGGTCGTTGGGAATCAAGGAAGGATGATCACGACCGCTTAATAGAGATAAAAAATTTCGAGACTTAAAACGGATCGCTTATACAGGTTCCACTGTAAGGGCATGGGTCGATGAGAAGCCCCATGCCCTACCGTGAATTTTTTTCGACGTTGAGTTTCGTGGGACTGGAGCGTAGCAGTCAAGGATGTAAAGGATCGCAGATGCGTCGCCGAAACCTTCGTCTAATACGTTGACCGTCGTATAATCCCTAATGCTTCCGACTTACCGATTGGACCTCGACCGCCTCAAAGGATCGGGATATCTATGGTTTCTAGAACTTCTACAATTCGGTCGGGAAACGTCCAGTTCCTACTAATCGTCCGACGAATGAAAACCAGCCTCTGCAAACTTTTATTGTAAAATAAAACACAGCGCCTTTATGTAATCCTGTTTAGTAGATCAATAGCCCTTTCTGAGGACCACCACTTGTGATTTCTTTTAACCAAAATTATTCTTAGTTTTCTCTTACAAGAAGTCCATACCATTCTGAGGAAATGGTCCTGTACATGATTAGTTGCGGGATACTTAGTCAGTCGATAAAGATGGTGATTAACGAAGGACAGTCTGGCTGCCGCCGCGAAACGTCGACCGAATACATCTGCTTCCTGTGTTGAAAAGACAGGTTAGGTTGAACATGTGAAGTTTTTAAAAGTAGGTATATGTGAAAACGAGGAGCTACGAAATGTAGAAAATGCAGAGCGGTGTCAAACTGCGAAGTGTGGACGAGAAAATAAAATAAAAAGTTTGAGTGTGTGTTTGAAGCAAAATAGGTTGAAAAAGAATCCAAAGCGTTTTTGGTCCCTCTTAAACCATAATTCAAAACCTCGCCTAGCACCTAACCGTATTCTATGGCAACGGATTCCGCCGGATGAACCGCTGACCAGCCACCTCCTAGGACATTAGCTGAAGACCTCAAGGATATAGCAAAGTTATCTAATACCTATTTTGTATCGGTCTTCTCTCCTATTACGCGAAAGGTCTCTACTCCACCGGAAAACCAGCCAATTATGACTGAGCTGTGTTTAACTCTACCGGTGGTACAAGCCGTGCTGGTTTCGCTCGATGTCACCAAGGCGACCGGCCCAGATGAGATCCCTGCGCGCTTGCTCAAAGAAACGGCCTCTACAATTGCGTCGTCACTGTGTCAACTCTTTAACGAGTCTCTAAGCACCGGGTCACTGCCGCACGAGTAGAAAACAGCTAACGTCGTACCGGTCTTCAAGAAGGGCGAGGCAGAGTATGTGGAGAACTATCGTCCGACATCATTGTTAGGTGTACCTCAAGGGTCGCGGCGCTAGGCCCTACCCTGTTTTCCATATTTTGTAATAATCTGCCCAATATCACTGAGAGAATAGATGGTGACTCACAGCTTCACATGTACGCAGACGATACCACCGTCTATGTCTCGGCTTCGACCTATGATCTGGTGGCTTCCAAGTTGAATGAAGTCCTAGCAAGGCTATATACATGGTGTTGCGAGAACTGTCTCACTCCACATCCCACCAAGACGGAATAGATGCTGCTTGGTGGACGCGGACAATTGACTGGGCCAAAAAAAGCTCTCAAGATGGGTGATTATGTTATCGAGGAGGTTGTTTCTACAAGATGCCTAGGTGGTCAGATAGACAATGCTCTTAAATGGGATCATCATGTATCGGAATTAGCCAAGTCATTTACGCAGAAGTTGAATTGTATTTCCTGCCTAAACAGGCGAGAACTGATTTATACTTTAAGGTTATTTTGCCGTCTGTGACATATGGTATGTTAGTTTGGGGCTCTTGTGGTCGAGTGTTTTTCACAACCTTAGAATCTACACATGTTAGCGCGGCGAAAAAAAAATATATAACTTGGATTGGTGTACGCCAAGCAAGGAGGTTCTTGCCACAGTAAAATGGAATACCTTAGAGATTATGTATGAGAAACGATTTTTAATCTTAGCGCATCAGGCTTATCATCATCTTTTATCATGTCCTATGAACTGTCGTTTTGAAAAGTATGTAATTAGTTACGACCTCAGGAGGAAAATGACATTTAAGTTACCTAGACCTAAGACCGATATGGTCAAGAAATCATGCTCATACAAGTCAATTACTCGGTGGAACGCTCTGGAAAATCAAATGAAATCAATTCAAGACGTTGGCGCTTTTAAAAGGTCACTCGAATGTATTTTTAAGCCCCGTATATTATAATGATGTACTATGTAGAATTTTTATTGCTGTAAATATGTAGAAATCTTGCATTACTTGTAATTAGTTAGGAATTTAGTCTTATTGTTTGTACACGACCACATCAGCTTTTGCTGAATTTTTTTATTGTGTTTAAACAAACGCTGTTGTTGTTGTTGTTGTTATCACTGATATCCAAGGTCTTAGAGAAGTGCGTGCTTAACAGTTTTAAGGATCGGCTAGCTGAGGTTGCAAAATTGTGCCAACACGGATCTCTGAGTGGCAAGTCCTGTACCACAAATCTCCTGGAAGCTCTTTATTATACTGGGTCAGCGCTTGACTGTGGTGGTCAGGTGGACACGGTATATATGGATATGTCAAAAGCCTTCGATACGGTGTGCCACCAACGCCTACTGTACAAACTGCGTGTCTTCGGATTCAGGGGTAACTTACTTCGGTGGTTTAACTCTTACTTAATCAACCGCCGTCAAAGAGTGACTGTGCTCGGAGCGATGTCTGAATCTTTGCTCATCATCTCCGGAGTTCCTCAAGGATCCACCCTGGGACCAGCTCTGTTTCTGTTGCATGTTAACGACCTACCGGACGCAGTAGATAACAGCTGCATCACTATGTTTGTCGACGATGTGAAAGTATTTAAGCTGATCAAATCCGCTGAAGATGTTGCTGTTCTACAAACTGATTTAGACCACCTTGTGTCCTGGACATGAAACCTCCGTCTCTCCTTCAGTGAGAAGAAATGCAAGTTCCAGATGATCACGAGAAAGATCCACCCTGCTGTTTCGTCGACCATATACCATCAAGGACAGCCCTCTGGAGTGCGTGACGACCGAATGCGATCTCGGGGTTTACGTATCGGATGATTTGACTTGGAGCC